AAACACACCCTGGCTCAACAACTAGAGTCCCATAGCCAGGGTGTGACATTGAAACTGCCGGTTTGACCAGGGGTGAGCTTTTTCAGAAAGCCTGTGGTTCACACAAATGAGCACATTGTCATAGACACTCCACAAAAAATGTATGAGAGTGCTAGGGACATCTGTCCAGAAGAGGACAGTTTGCCTTTGAGCTACGGGTCACGAACAGTCATGTGACTTCGTCGGTAACCTCGTCCTCAGGTGGAAGTGTTTGGGAATGAAAACTTGGGAATGAAAACTTCCCTGGTTACTATGGCAAAATGTGGTCAAGCTGGTCTCTTATTGCACATCAGTGATCATTGCTAGACAACCATTGTCAGGTCTTGTCATAGAGTTTCACTCAAATTTAAGTCAAAACTGTAAGTCGGCCACTCAGAAACATTCACTGTCATCTTAGTAAGAAACTCCAGTGTAGATTTTGCCTTGTGTTTTAGGTTTTTGTCCTGCTGAAAGGTGAATTCATGTCCCGGTGTCTAGTGGAAAGCAGACTTAACCAGGTTTTCCTCTAGGATTTTGCCTGTGCTTAGCTCCATTATGTTAATGTTTTTACCTGAAAAACTCCCCAATCCTTCAGGATTACAAGCATTCCCATAACATGATGCAGCCACCAATATGCTTAAAAATATGGACAGTGGTACTCAATAATGTGTTGTATTGAATTTGTCCCAAACATAACACTTTGTATTCAAGACAAAAAGTTAATTGCTTTGCCACATTTTTTGCTGTATTACTTTAGTGCCATGTTGCAAACAGGATGCATGTTTTGGAATATTTTTGTTCTGTACAAGCTTCCTTTTCACTTTGTCAATTAGGTTAGTATTGTGGAGTAACTATAATGGTGAACCATCTTCAGTTTTCTATCACAGCCATTGAACTCTGTAACTATTTTAAAGTCACCATTGGCCTCATGGTGAAATCCTTGAGCGGTTTCCTTCCTCTCCGGCAACTGAGTTAGGAAGGACGCCTGTATCTTTGTAGTGACTGGGTATATTGATACACCATCCAAAGTGTAATTAATAGCTTCACCATGCTCAAAAGGATATTCAATGTCTGCTTTTTTATTTTTACCCATCTACCAATAGGTGCCCTTCTTTGCGAGGCATTGGAAAACCTCCCTGGTCTTTGTGGTTGAATCTGTGTTTGAAATGCACTGGTCAACAGGGACCTTATGGATAATTGTATGTGTGGGGTACAGAGATTATGTAGTCATATAAAAATCATGTTAAACACTATTATTGCACACAGAGTGAGTCCATGCAACTTATTGTGTGACTTGTTAAGCAAATTTGTACTCCTGAACTTATTTAGGCTTGCCATAAAAGGGGTTGAATACTTATTGACTCAAGACATTTCAGCTTTTCATGTTTCATTAATTTGCAAAAATTTCAAAAAACATAATTCCACTTTGACATTATGGGGTATTGTGTGTAGGCCAGTGAAAAAAATCTCAATTTAATCCATTTTAAATTCAGGCTGTAACACAACAAAATGTGGAAAAAGTAAAGGGGTGTGAATACTTTCTGACGGCACTGAACCACTGTTACCAAAGAAAACAATACTAAAGCACACATTTACCAGTAAAATAAAAAAAATTCGTTGATATTTTCATTTTTAAGCAATTCATACATTCTAATTTTTTGGTTGCTAGAGACACGACCCAGTTGTTCGTTCGATTAGTTTGATATTTATGGACGCAACCCAGTTGTTCATTCTATATGTTCCGTTGCCATGCTCGCTGGCAACGTAATCTTGCTTGCTAGCCATCCAACTAGCTACAGCTATCACAGTCACGACCTCTGCAGCCAGAATAACAGCAAAATAGCTGCATTTAAAATTTGTTTAAGCTGGGGGTTTTTTTACATTCATTTGGATACATCCATAACAATGAGCTGATTATGCCCAATTTTGCCTGGCATGGTGCCTTCCCATCAGGACACTCGCCATTACGAGGAGATCACATTGCATATCAAACACTAGGCTGGAAGCTAGATAAATAGTTTGTTTTTAGCAAACCTGCCAATATGACAAACAAATTCAAAAATAGAAGATTCTGAAAACAGCTAGTCATACTAGAAATGTAAGGTGGGAGGATTTGACAGCATTGCATCACTTGCGTTATGACTACAGTAGGGACCGGAGAAATTCATGTTCGTCATTCACAACGTTAGGTCATCAGATGCTTCAAAAAATATGTCTCTGCAAAAACAAATCAATAGCTAACTAGCTAGCAAAAAATGGTTCATTGGACCTGCGTTTACAATGTATTACATTTCATTTTTTGTGCTTATTCATTTAGCTTTCTGTAACTTTGTAGCAAGTACAGTCTGCATGTGTAGGCCCATTTGCAAGGTGTCCCGATATATTTTCCAACTGTCCTGATATATCTTCCAACTGTCCCGTTATCTGGTTTAAATGTCCATTCTAGAATGCCCTTCTAGCCTATCAGAAACCAGTATTCAACAATGCTGTGGTATGTACTCCTGAGTGGCGCAGTGGTCTAAGGCACTGCATCGCAGTGCTAACTGTGCCACTAGAGATCCTGGTTCGAATCCAGGCTCTGTCGCAGCCGGCCGCGACCGGGAGACTCATGGGCGGCGCACAATTGGCCCAGCGTCGTCCAGGGTAGGGGAGGGAATGGCCGGCAGGGATGTAGCTCAGTTGATAGAGCATGGCGTTTGCAACGCCAGGGTTGTGGGTTCGATTCCCACGGGGGGCCAGTATAAAAAAAAATAAAAAAAAATGTATTCACTAACTGTAAGTCGCTCTGGATAAGAGCGTCTGCTAAATGACAAAAAATGAAAAATGTAAAAAATGGTATAAATATGTTAATTAAAAACAAGAAACACTTATCGAATGAGAAAACAGAAATCCGCATAGGGTTTAAAAAAAGGACTTGCGCCAGACATAGCATTTTCCTTGATTGCCAAAAAGCTCAATTTTAGTCTCATCTGACCAGAGTACCTTTTTTTCTTTAAGCAATGGCTTTTTTCTGGCAACTCTTCCATAAAGCCCAGCTCTGTGGAGTGTATGGCTTAAAGTGGTCCTATGGACAGATACTCCAATCTCCGCTGTGGAGCTTTATAGCTCCTTCAGGGTTATCTTTGGTCTCTTTGTTGCCTCTGATTAATGCCCTCCTTGCCTGGGCTGTGGGTTTTGGTGGGTGGCCCTCTCTTGGCAGGTTTGTTGTGGTGCCATATTCTTTCCATTTTTCTGATATTTTTTTATAACCCAACCCTGATCTGTACTTCTCCACAACTTTGTTCCTGACCTGTTTGGAGAGCTCCTTGGTCTTCATGGTGCCACTTGCTTGGTGGTGCCCCTTGCTTAGTGGTGTTGCAGACTCTGGGGCCTTTCAGAACAGGTGTATATATACTGAGATCATATGACAGATCATGTGACACTTAGATTGCACACAGGTGGACTTTATTTCACAAATTATGTGACTTCTGAAGGTAATTGGTTGCACCAGATCTTATTTAGGGGCTTCATAGCAAAGGGGGTGAATACATATGCACGCACCACTTTTCCGTTATTTATTTTGTATAATTTTCTTTAACAAGTTATTTTTTTAATTTCACTTAACCAATTTGGACTATTTTGTGTATGTCCATTACATGAAATCCAAATAAAAATCAATTTAAATTACAGGTTGTAATGCAACAAAATAGGAAAAACACCAAGGGGGATGAATACTTTTGCAAGGCACTGTATATCTGTTATTGCATTTCATTGTGTACTGTGGTCAGGATTTTGTTTCATGCCATTAGCTTAAGGCTACAGTCTGCAATTGGTGCATCCATTTTTTTTCTATATGTACAGCCATTGATTCTTGGCACATGGTTAAAACTTCTAAATGATTTTGATCTCATGGATGGGTTGTCCTTTCATCCATAGCTCTGTCTATGAATGTTAGTGTGGTTACATTTCTTCATGTTGAATATTTACATTATGATTGACCAAATTTGGCCTTTTCTTTCCTAACAGCTCTGAAGGATAATCCACACAATCAGACAAAATCATGTCATGCACATTTCCAGCACATTCAATAAATGTGCTTTGTTTATAACTTCAAGTAGATTCAAATTCAACTCTTGACTTGACTGTCCCCCTGGGGGCAGAGGTGCTCAGAGGGAAGGGGTGCCCCTCTCCTGCCAGTGGGTCCCTCTGCCTACTGATCCCCCTCCAGCCCAGAGAGGACTTCAAGAACATCCTGCTGTCATTCAAACCGTTGTGATAAAATAGTTCTTATTAAATTCATTTAAAACTTCACCAATGCCTCCTTGTCTTCTGCACTCTATTATTAGTTTTCATATACTGTGGTATGTAGGAGAATGTATAAAAGTCTAGTAGTCTGAGTGTAGTTACTTCTGATGAAATGTGTGATCTAACTGCCCCAAAATCCAAAGTATTAAGGTTGATATAGTAGTCTATCAAAGTAATCAGAATAATTGTACCAAATTTAATTTTGTCTGTATTTAACTGCTTCACTTAAGTAAAACGTTTTAAACTTCCACTACCACAAAAATACTTTTAAAGAGTTAAAGCAAGTCCCACAGTTTTTCTTTATGGAATATTACCATCTAGTTTATATTCATATTGATGGCTGTCAACCCATGACTGATGCACTAGCGTTGTATGTACTACCTTTGTATTCAGTATCATTGTGGTTCATGTGGGTCTTTTATATGTTTTTACGTCTCATGTGCTCCTTGCTGCAAAACCAATTGCTCTCTGGGACAAATAAAAGTTCAAACTTGAACTTGAAACTTGGTCTTAATTATGCAATCTTTATTGGAAATGTCTGACTAAGCAGAAGCACCCCAGTCGCCCCAGCCAACCTCTTCCCCACTCTAAAATAATTAACAAAAAATAAAACAGAGATCCGGACAGACTAGATCCAGTTCCTCATTTTAGTTTTTAAAAGCTGAGGTTCTGGTCAGGAGAGATCAGTCATCTCCTCTCCTCTAGCCGGTTCTAGCCTTCTGAATCAGTCAAGAACACAACAAAACATCTCGATAGCAACCATGCAGCTGTGCTACGGACCAATGGCGTGCCTCGCTCTCTTCCTCTTGTTAACGGCCACTGGCACTGGTAAGTAGTCTACTCCTGTAGTGAATTGTGGGGGTATAGCCCTTGCAGGACTTGAACCAACAACATTGCATCTGTTCATCCAACAAATAATATATTATGCCAAGAGATCTCAAACCCTTGGAAAATGTATGGGTGTAGCCCTAATATGTATGTGTGTTATTAACTCTGTAAATGAGATATTACAAATATGCTGTACAGGGGAAGTTAAGACTGGGGTGGTGGTTGTGGGTTAAAAATGTTGAATATGCTTCTTTAACTCTTCAGAAGCAGACAAGGTGCACAACTGTTGCACAGAGGTCTCCAGGCAGAAGATCAATGTTCCTATCATCGGAGCCAGACTACAGAAAAAGAATCCTCCCTGTGTCAAGGCTGTCATGTAAGAACCTCCCATCCCTACTAGCACAGAACATAGAACGTCACAAATGAAATGTTTAGGCCTACTTTGACCATCTGCATCCAGATGAATGAGTAAGGACGAGATTAGGACAGTTGTCTAAATGTTGTCATCTTGGGTTCCACACAGATTCGAGACTGAAGATGGAGAGATTTGCAGCCACTGGAAAGAGGCCTGGGTTCGACACACATTCATTCAGCTGGAGTAAGTCATCAATTCATATACATCGTGTAATACTCACTGTAGGCTAACTCAGTTATACTCTCCAGTTACATGGCTGGCTAGAGTAAGTGACCTGCACAAGGACCTGTACAAGGGCCAGAGGAGAAGACAGAATGTAAAAGACAGACATGGTTGAAGTTGAAATGCTAACGATGCTGCTATTTCTTCTAGAATGGCCAGAAGGTCACTGAATACACAGAACACCACCAGCACCTCCCCGTAGAGGACACTACTACTTATTCTTCTTGTTTATCAATCATCACCAACATCGTCACTGGCTGAACTTGAGGGATAGCATTGTTTAAACCTGTAATTTAAATGATCAACCTTTAAATTATGTTATTTATGCTAATGAAGGTATAATTTAACCCATTTAAATATTGTGCGAAAAACGGGTGTATTTATTATTTATTTATTGCCAGTTTAAGTATTTATTGGATGTTGTATGTGTGTGTAGAGGGCTATGTATGAATTGCGGTTTGATATATGCTTTTAACATTAAATTAATTCCTGTGATGTATATGTATATCAAACTGGTTTAAAAACAAAACAGCCTATTTAAGCTCCAATGGAGAATTGAAGACGTAAGAATTGATGCCACAAAATATTTTGTACTACATAAACAATATTTTCCATTAATAGTGCACTTGAATCCCTTGTTATCCTTTCTTATAATCTCTCAGTCATTGCGGTATTCTGTATGTTGTAAATTCACAATTTTGCATGGATGAATAGGCTTTATTCCATTCATTAATTTTCTGCTGTTGTTCCTCACTTTGGCTGCACCTCTTCTTATGGATCGTTGCCTCCATCTGGGGGATTCAACCTAGCATTGCAGCTTCAGCCTTCATGTTGATTGATATGTTTGACATTAGCTAGGTTTCCATCCAACTGGCAACAGATTTTCATGTGAATATTCTAAAATCCGCATTAAAACAATATGGTTATTTTTCCACAAGATATGGGTTTCCATCAAATTGACTTGTATATAAAGCTGTGCGTGATGACGTATACACATAAAAATATGTTAAATGGGTTTCCGTCGCATTTTCGACTCTGATGGATTTGTCAACATTTGACGTTATGTAGCGAGTGTGCCCACTCTGGTATTGGCACGTGCGTGGGTAGGCCAGCCTACATGATGAGATGATTAAAGACAAAATAGAGATTAATTTTATTTGTCAAACGGCAGCCAAGCATCTATGATCATGTCTCCAGAATAAGACCCTCGATATTTATTGGAAAGGTGCATCAATATTGAGCTCATAACCTTGCACTTTCACCAGCCTGCGAACTTCATAATCTATTTCATCTGTGGCCTAATAAACTGCATGCTTTCTCGACGAGTCCTAGTGGGATAACCACACACCATATCATCACGTGACTCCAAATTTACTTCGATATGATGGTTATTATATCAATATTTGCGCATAAAGACATTTCCACCTCGCATAATACATTTTACGACACAAACGAGACAAAAAGAGCATTTAAAACATTTACCGAAACTTCCTGTTTCCAAAACAACTGTCATTATTATTATTTTTTATATATATAGGGTATGACTAACATCTTTAGTATGACTTTACTAGCATAAAAACTGGATGGAAACGTGGTTATTTACACACCGATTTTAAATTGTTGTGAGACAGATTATCTGACTGAATTATAGGGGAATTCAATATGGTGGATGCCCCAAAATATGCTTTGACCCAGATATAGCTGCAGGAAGTAGTTTGGGGGTGGAGGTGCAGCGATATAATTGTTTTATTACGAAATAGCCAGTGCAGCTGTCTTCGCTTCACATGTAAGCAGGAGTGAAGTGATGGGGGAGCCCAAGGGACCTCACGTTCTTCAATTTGAGAATACATGGAACATGTATTCTGATAAATTCTAAATAAAATATATTTAATCACCACAAAAATTTCATGCAAAACGACAGAATTACAAACCAAATAAGTATGTAGGCTACAGCAGCCAGAGTTAGGTAAATTGTAGTTTCTTCCGTCTTCTCTCTGGCGAATGATAAGAACTGGAGCCTACATGTGTGCACTGCAGAGGCCCGTTGGAGGTTTGACAACTTCAGAACGTAGCATTATTTTTACAAAATTGCACCATGTCTGCCATGATATTCATAAAACTCCACCGAGCTACTGTTGCGCAGTGGAACCCAGAACGATATGTGACCACTTGGTTACAGCGACACCGTTCTGCCGAGGACACCCACACCAGAGTGGCCACTGCAAAGCCCCTCGGGCTCCCCCATCACTTCACTCCTGCTTACTTGTGAAGCGAAGACAGCTGCACTGGCTATTTCGTAATAAAACAATTAAATCGCTGCACCCAAACTACTTCCTGCAGCTATATCTGGGTCAAAGCATATTTTTGGGCGTCCACCATATAACTTCAAATCAGTGTGTAAATAACCACGTTTCCTTCCAGTTTTTATGCTAGTAAAGTCATACTCAAGATGTTAGTCATACCCTATATCAGGGGCGGCCTGTTCAATAGGGCGATATGGGCGACGCACTGCCAAACGGGAAAAGGAAGGGATTTTTTTTCTAATCAATTATATCACGGCAACAGTAGTTATCAGTGTTGTAATCTATACGTCTGATCTGCCACAGTGCCACACTGCCACTAAATGTCGAATCAGGCTAAAGTCGTGCTTCAAATGGCTCCCCCCCCTTTTGGGGCGATTTCAGTCAGGTTGAAAATCGCCCAGAAGTCTGTCATAGACTCCCATGTAAAATCTATTTTTTTCAAATTTCAGAGCCTTCAATACAATCTCAATGGGTGTCTGTGGGCTTGCACTTACGCGCTTTCGTCATACGTTACGTAACCATGAACGTAACTGAGAAAAGAGTGGATTGTTTGAAAGAAGTTCCTTTTTGTCGGCGAACAAATGAAGATAAATTGGCAACGAAACAATTAGGACCTCCCAGACCAAATTTAATAATTCAACAGGTTTCTACTAAAGGCGGAAAGTCCTACACCCGAGGATTTTCCAAAAATTGGTACGAACGAAAAAAGACATTGCCACTCACTCAACTGGATGACGAGGGATACAGGCTAGCTGTCCGCCGCCACAACGATGAGGTTAGTGTTGATAATCACAAGTTTACTGGAGAACCAACTGAGACCAAGTAGAGACTTTGGACAGGGTGGATATGGTGTAATAAAGGCAGTTTATTCAGAGGTAAATATATCTGGAATCGCGTTCACGGACCCGTTCGTCAAACTCTTAGGGAGCTATAAATTAAGCCCCATTACTTACCATATCAGATAAGAGAAATTGCTGCAGCTACATATATTTTACATCCTGGCCCTACATAGTTCACTATTTGCATCACTTACCAAAATATTACATGTGGTCATATATGCTTGGAAAGTGGAGATGCCATAGAACGTCAAAAAAGTAAACATTGCTGGAGACACATTGCCGTTTTGGAGAAGACATCGCGTTTGCTAGCGAAGAGATTTGTTGTGGCAAATGAACTTGGGCTGGGAATTGCCAGGAACCTCACGATAAGATATATGCATCAGCATTGCGAGTCTCATGATTCTATACGTATTGCGATTCGATACTGTGATTTTATTGCGCACCATATGTCTGTTGCAGAGGGATCAGAAAGCCATGAGAACGAGTTTTGATCAGTCATGGAAATAAAAGTGCTGAAAACAAATTGGCTCCCAATGTGAAAAGATTGAGAACAAGCTATGAAGGAACAATAATGGTGTTTTGGTGCAGGTACAGCCAACTAGCGCTAAAATATTGCGATATTGTCAATACAGTATATCGTAAAGTATCACTATGTAACTCGATTTCTTTCACCCCAATCCCTCAAATTAACGGTAAATAACTGAATTGTTTGCCCCACATTTAGCTAAGATGATTAGCTAGCCAGCTAAAATGTTTTATTTAGTTAGCAGTCGCATCTACAATAGTTTACTGTCAATAACATGTCTCCAAAAATGACGTGGTGTCTCCAATTGTGTTGACATTTTACAATTGCAATGCGCATCCATGAGTATCCACTTTCTGTAGCTCAGCTGGTAGAGCATGGTGCTTGTAACGCCAAGGTAGTGGGTTCGATCCCCGGGACCACCCATACACAAAAATGTATGCACGCATGACTGTAAGTCGCTTTGGATAAAAGCGTCTGCTAAATGGCATATTATTATTATTATTATTATTATTATCTGAAGAGAGCCCCGAAACATTGTGTGCAGACATTTTATGCAATAAATGAAGTAGGTTCAATCTAGTAGTTCTGATCTTCTGATTGGTCCTGATGAGTTGGGCGAGGTCACCTCCAGGCTACTGTCACTGTTGCATTGGCTCTGAGTCGGGTTCTCTGTCTTCAAATGTTCAGCCTAAGAGAGGGGATTTTTGTGTGTGTGTGTGTGTGTGTGTGTTTAACAGTGATGATGTGTGTGTGTGTGTGTGTTTAACAGTGATGATGTGTGTGTGTGTGTTTGTGTGTGTGTGTGTCCTCAGAGCAAGAACTCGTGAGTTGGAAGAACTGAGAGGCCTATGGCGTGGGTGTTGTCCTTGGCCACCTGCTGACAAGGCTGACAAGATAGGACCCTTTTGTCCATTGTTATTGGATAGGAACAGAACTTATAACCAGCTCCTGACCTAAATAGATCTTAGCACAACATTTTACTCAACATATCATATTCCATATTCACTATAACAAATATATTTACTACGACATTAGCAAGAACCGCCACATCCTCAGCCGGCTAATCCAGTGTGTGAAGTTTTGCGGAGTGTTTGAGTTAGCTTTGCGAGGCAAAGATGAAACTGAGGGCTCCACCAACCCTGGTAAGCCAACACTTTTGAGATCAGTCAATAAATGCTTCTGGTATTGACTTATATGCTGCCCCTGTCTTCATGTTGTTGCTGGACATATCTTTTTTTAAATGTGTGTAGGTCACCTAAATCATCAGAAAAATTGCCCCTCCTGAGAATTTTTTCAGGAGCCGCCACTGCCCTATATATATAAAAAATAATAATAATGACAGTTGTTTTGGAAACAGGAAGTTTCGGTAAATGTTTTAAATGCTCATTTTGTCTAGTTTTGTATCGTAAAATGTATTATGCGAGGTGGAAATGTCTTTATGCGCAAATATTGATATAATAACCATCATATCGAAGTAAATTTGGAGTCACGTGATGATATGGTGTGTGGTTATCCCACTAGGACTCGTCGAGAAAGCATGCAGTTTATTAGGCCACAGATGAAATAGATTATGAATTTCGCAGGCTGGTGAAAGTGCAAGGTTATGAGCTCAATATTGATGCACCTTTCCAATAAATATCGAGGGTCTTATTCTGGAGACATGATCATAGATGCTTGGCTGCCGTTTGACAAATAAAATGAATCTCTATTTTGTCTTTAATCATCTCATCATGTAGGCTGGCCTACCCGCGCACGTGCCAATACCAGAGTGGGCACACTCGCTACATAACGTCAAATGTTGACAAATCCATCAGAGTAAAAAATGCGACGGAAACCATTTAACATATTTTTATGTGTATACGTCATCACGCACAGCTTTATATACAAGTCAATTTGATGGAAACCCATATCTTGTGGAAAAATAACCATATTGTTTTAATGCGGATTTTAGAATATTCACATGAAAATCTGTTGCCAGTTGGATGGAAACCTAGCTAATGTCAAACATATCAATCAACATGAAGGCTGAAGCTGCAATGCTAGGTTGAATCCCCCAGATGGCGGCAACGATCCATAAGAAGAGGTGCAGCCAAAGTGAGGAACAACAGCAGAAAATGAATGAATGGAATAAAGCCTATTCATCCATGCAAAATTGTGAATTTACAACATACAGAATACCGCAATGACTGAGAGATTATAAGAAAGGATAACAAGGGATTCAAGTGCACTATTAATGGAAAATATTGTTTATTTAGTACAAAATATTTTGTGGCATCAATTCTTACGTCTACAATTCTCCATTGGAGCTTAAATAGGCTGTTTTGTTTTTAAACCAGTTTGATATACATATACATCACAGGAATTAATTGAATGTTAAAAGCATATATCAAACCGCAATTCATCCATAGCCCCCTACACACATAAAACATCCAATAAATACTTAAACTGGCAATAAATAAATAATAAATACACCCGTTTTTCTCACAATATTTAAATGGATTAAATTATACCTTCATTAGCATAAATAACATCATTTAAAGGTTGATCATTTAAATTACAGGTTTAAACAATGCTACCCCTCAAGTTCAGCCAGTGACGATGTTGGTGATGTTTGATAAACAAGAAGAATAAGAAGTAATGTCCTCTACGGGGAGGTGCTTGTGGTGTTCTGGGTATTCAGTGACCTTCTGGCCATTCTAGAAGAAATAGCAGCATCGTTAGCATTTCAACTTCAACCATGTCTGTCTTTTACATTCTGTCTTCTCCTCTGGCCCTTTTACAGGTCCTTGTGCAGGTCACTTACTCTAGCCAGCCATGTAACTGGAGAGTATAACTGAGTTAGCCTACAGTGAGTATTACACAATGTATATGAATTGATGACTTACTCCAGCTGAATGAATGTGTGTCGAACCCAGGCCTCTTTCCAGTGGCTGCAAATCTCTCCAACTTCAGTCTCGAAGCTGTGTGGAACCGAAGATGACAACATTTAGACAACTGTCCTAATCTCGTCCTTACTCATTCATCTGGATGGAGATGGTCAAAGTAGGCCTAAACATTTCATTTGTGACGTTCCATGTTCTGTGCTAGTAGGGATGGGAGGTTCTTACATGACAGCCTTGACACAGGGAGGATTCTTTTTCTGTATTCTGGCTCCGATGATAGGAACGGTGATCTTCTGCCTGGAGACCTCTGTGCAACAGTTGTGCACCTTGTCTGCTTCTGAAGAGTTAAAGAAGCATATTCAACATTTATAACCCACAACCACCACCCCAGTCTTAGCTTTTAAAAATTAAAATGAGGAACTGGATCTAGTCTGTCCGGATCTCTGTTTTATTTGTTGTTAATTATTTTAGAGTAGGGAAGAGGTTAGCTGGGGCGACTGGGGTGCTTCTGCTTAGTCAGACATTTCCAATAAAGATTGCATAATTAAGACCAAGTTTCAAGTTCAAGTTTTAACTTTATTTGTCCCAGAGAGCAATTGGTTTTGCAGCAAGGAGCACATGAGACGTAAAGACATATAAAAGACCCACATGAACCACAATGATACTGAATACAAAGGTAGTACATACAACACTAGTGCATCAGTCATGGGTTGACAGCCATCAATATAAATATAAACTAGATGGTAATTTTCCATAAAGAAAAACTGTGGGACTTGCTTTAACTCTGTAAAAGTATTTTGTGGTAGTGGAAGTTTAAAATGTTTTACTTAAGCGAAGCAGTTAAATACAGACAAAATTAAATTTGGTAAAATTATTCTGATTACTTTGATAGACTACTATATCAACCTTAATACTTTGGATTTTGGGGCAGTTAGATCACACATTTCATCAGAAGTAACTACACTCAGACTACTAGACTTTTATACATTCTCCTACATACCACAGTATATGAAAACTGTAATAATAGAGTGCAGAAGACAAGGAGGCATTGGTGAAGTTTTAAATGATTTTTTTTTTTTAAACTATTTTATCACAACGGTTTGAATGACAGCAGGATGTTCTTGAAGTCCTCTCTGGGCTGGAGGGGGATCAGTAGGCAGAGGGACCCACTGGCAGGAGAGGGGCACCCCTTCCCTCTGAGCACCTCTGCCCCCAGGGGGACAGTCAAGTCAAGAGTTGAATTTGAATCTACTTGAAGTTATAAACAAAGCACATTTATTGAATGTGCTGGAAATGTGCATGACATGATTTTGTCTGATTGTGTGGATTATACTTTAGAGCTGTTAGGAAAGAAAAGGCCAAATTTGGTCAATCATAATGTAAATATTCAACATGAAGAAATGTAACCACTCTCACATTCATAGACAGAGCTATGGATGAAAGGACAACCCATCCATGAGATCAAAATCATTTAGAAGTTTTAACCATGTGCCAAGAATCAATGGCTGTACATATAGAAAAAAAATGGATGCACCAATTGCAGACTGTAGCCTTAAGCTAATGGCATGAAACAAAATCCTGACCACAGTACACAATGAAATGCAATAACAGATATACAGTGCCTTGCAAAAGTATTCATCCCCCTTGGTGTTTTTCCTATTTTGTTGCATTACAACCTGTAATTTAAATTGATTTTTATTTGGATTTCATGTAATGGACATACACAAAATAGTCCAAATTGGTTAAGTGAAATTAAAAAAATAACTTGTTAAAGAAAATTATACAAAATAAATAACGGAAAAGTGGTGCGTGCATATGTATTCACCCCCTTTGCTATGAAGCCCCTAAATAAGATCTGGTGCAACCAATTACCTTCAGAAGTCACATAATTTGTGAAATAAAGTCCACCTGTGTGCAATCTAAGTGTCACATGATCTGTCATATGATCTCAGTATATATACACCTGTTCTGAAAGGCCCCAGAGTCTGCAACACCACTAAGCAAGGGGCACCACCAAGCAAGCGGCACCATGAAGACCAAGGAGCTCTCCAAACAGGTCAGGGACAAAGTTGTGGAGAAGTACAGATCAGGGTTGGGTTATAAAAAAATATCAGAAAAATTGAAAGAATATGGCACCACAACAAACCTGCCAAGAGAGGGCCACCCACCAAAACCCACAGCCCAGACAAGGAGGGCATTAATCAGAGAGGCAACAAAGAGACCAAAGATAACCCTGAAGGAGCTGCAAAGCTCCACAGTGGAGATTGGAGTATCTGTCCATTGGACCACTTTAAGCCGTACACTCCACAGAGCTGGGCTTTATGGAAGAGTTGCCAGAAAAAAGCCTTTGCTTAAAGAAAAAAAGGCATGTGGTAGACTCCCCAAACATATGGAAGAAGGTACTCTGGTCAGATGAGACTAAAATTGAGCTTTCTGGACATCAAGGAAAACGCTATGTCTGGCGCAAACCGAACACCTATCATCACCCCGAGAACACCATCCCCACAGTGAAGCATGGTGGTGGCAGCATCATGTTGCAGGGATGTTTTTCATCGGCAGGGACTGGGAAACTGGTCAGAATTGAAGGAATGATGGATGCTAAATACAGGGAAATTCTTGAGGGAAACCTGATTCATTATTCCAGAGATTTGAGACTGGGACGGAGGTTCACCTTCCAGCAGGACAATGACCCTAAGCATACTGCTAAAGCAACACTTGAGTGGTTTAAGGGGAAACATTTAAATGTCTTGGAATGGCCTAGTCAAACCTAGACCTCAATCCAATTGAGAATCTGTGGTATGACTTAAAGATTGCTGTTCACCAGCGAAACCCATCCAACTTGAAGGATCTGGAGCAGTTTTGCCTTGAAGAATGGGCAAAAATCCCAGTGGCTAGGTGTGCCAAGCTTATAGAGACATACCCCAAGACACTTGCAGCTGTAATTGCAACAAAAGATGGCTCTAAGTTTTCTGTATTTTTTTTGGTCTTATTTCTTGTTTGTTTCACAATCAAAAATATTTTGCATCTTCAAAGTGGTAGGCATGTTGTGTAAATCAAATGATACAAACCCCCCAAAAATCCATTTTAATTTCAGTTTGTAAGGCAACCCAAGGGGGTGAATACTTTCGCAAGCCACTGTAGCTGACTAACACAGGACGTTGGGCACTTTCTGCAGCATGGTGTGTTGGGAGAGAGAAAGACAATATTGGGGTTCTCAAACTGGAATAAGCACAGATCCATAACCGTGTGGCACAACCCCTGTCTGTGTCTGTCTCTGTGTGTGTGTGTGTCAGACCTTTGTTCAAATGATTATCTAGCCTGCCTGGAGTATCAGATGTGCGGGGTTTGTAATTGTGGGACTGTTCTATTGATCCATTAAGCCAGGCAAGCTCAATCAAGCAAAGATAAAGTGTGTGTGGGTACATGTAGTGGTACTCCATAAGATGTAAGAATGAGGGGAGATACTTACAGTTCAGGGGTGGGTACCCAGGGGCAGCACTGCATAGTTGACCTACACACCAGAGAGAGAGAAAGAAAGAGAGGACCATACAGTAGCTGAGAATATAATTTGTGAGCAACATGTAAAGTCATGAGCGGAAATAAAAGATCCCAGAAATGTTTCATACGTACAAAAAGCGTGTTGTGCACAAATTTGTTTACTTCCCTGTTAGTGAGCATTTCTCCTTTGCCAAGATAATCCATCCACTTGACAGGTGTGACATATCAAGAAGCTGATTAAACAGCATGATCAATACACAGGTGCACCTTGTGCTGGGGACAATAAAAGGCCACTCTAAAATGTGCAGTGTCACACAACACAATGCCACAGTTTTGAGGGAGCGTGCAATTGGCATGCTGACTGCAGGAATGTCCACCAGAGCTGTTGTCAAATAATTGAATGTTCATTTCTCTACTGTAAGCTGCCTCCAACGTCGTTTTAGAGATTTTGGCAGTACGTCCAACTGGCCTCACAACCGCAGACCACGTATAGTCACACCAGCCCAGGACCTCCACTTCCGGCTTCTTCACCTGTGGGATCATCTGAGACCAGCCACCCGGACAGCTGATGAAACTGAGTAGTATTTCTGTCTGTAATAAAGTGAATTGATTTAAATTGACTGATTTCCTTATATGAACTGTAGGAGAATCATAGGCTTAAGCCATAGGTCCTGCAGAAGGGTCCAGATGTGGAGGCAGGAGAAGGAGGTGACTGCCAGGGAGGCACGCCTTATGGCCATTTTAGAGGCCATGATTAAGTTTAATGTATTTTGTATTGATTTTATTTATAGCTATTAATGTATACATTTTCTACTGTTTTTGGTGAAGTCCTTTTTTTAAACCCTATGCGGATTTCTGTTTTCTCATTCGAAAAGTGTTTCTTGTTTGTAATTAACATATTTATACCACAGCATTGTTGAATACTGGTTTCTGATAGGCTAGAAGGGCATTCTAGAATGGACATTTAAACCAGATAACGGGACAGTTGGAAGATATATCAGGACAGTTGGAAAATATATCGGGACACCTTGCAAATGGGCCTACACATGCAGACTGTACTTGCTACAAAGTTACAGAAAGCTAAATGAACAAGCACAAAAAATGAAATCTAATACATTGTAAACGCAGGTCCAATGAACAATTTTTTTGCTAGCTAGTTAGCTATTGATTTGTTTTTGCAGAGACATATTTTTGGAAGCATCTGATGACCTAACGTTGTGAATGATGAACATGAATTTCTCCGGTCCCTACTGTAGTCATAACGCAAGTGATGCAATGCTGTCAAATCCTCCCACCTTACATTTCTAGTGTGACTAGCTGTTTTCAGAAACTTCTATTTTTGAATTAGTTTGTCATATTGGCAGGTTTGCTAAAAACAAACTATTTATCTAGCTTCCAGCCTAGTGTTTGATATGCAATGTGATCTCCTCGTAAATGGCGAGTGTCCTGACGGGAAGGCACCATGCCAGGCAAAATTGGGCATAATCAGCTCATTGTTATGGATGTATCCAAATGAATGTTAAAAAAAACCCAGCTTAAACAAATGCAAATGCAGCTACTTTGCTGTTATTCTGGCTGCAGAGGTCGCGACTGTGATAGCCGTAGCTAGTTGGATGGCTAGCAAGCAAGATTACGTTGCCAGCGAGCATGGCAACGGAACATATATAATGAACAACTGGGTCACATCCATAAATATCAAACTAATCGAACGAACAACTGGGTCGTGTCTCTAGCAACCAAAAAATTAGAATGTATGAATTGCTTAAAAATGAAAATATCAACGAAAATTGTTATATTTTACTGGTAAATGTGTGCTTTAGTATTGTTTTCTTTGGTAACA